TCTCTTTTAGGTCGTCCTTGCAAGAAAAGCAAGTCTTACCTAAACCGCTGTCTTCCTCCTGTCTTTATGTTTCCAAGGAATCTAAAGAAGTTCTCAATAGCACTTATTTTGCAAGTTGCATCTACAAGGGTAGAGGGACGAAAGTGTAAGCAGGCTTATCGGTGAAAGTCCACTCGAGCAACACAAGATGAATTACGCATGTAGCGCAATGCGACAGTTTCATCGGGACTAAGCATTAAATTATCACTTATAAGCAGCTGGACTCTCTTAGCATTTATCTTGATAGTTCATTCAACTCAATCACACATAGGGCACAAGCTCAAAGAAGACAATATTTCAAAACGTTCTATTTTTAAACATAAGTTAGAGAATATGACATGTTTTCTATTTGTTTGGGATTTGGGTTCTGTGGGTCGTTTGGTTGGACCGTGGCCCATTAGTTCTTACCCCGACCAAGGATCTTCCACAGTCCATTGATCACTTTGTTGATTTCGTTATATGGAGCGAATCATCAATATATAAATGGGTTAATACCACGAAAAATCCTAAACTGGTACACTTGTGACACATTTACCCCAAACTATTTTTTTGACCATAAAAAATCCCAAACTAGTACACCTGTGACAATTTTACCCTGAACTATTTTTTTGACCACCAAAAACCCCAAACTGGTACACTTGTGACAATTTTACCCTGAACTTACCACAAAAAATCTCAAACTGGTACATATGTGACAAATTTACCCTGAATTAAAATTTTAATATTATTTTTTTTCGAATTTTTATTTATTTTTTATTCTTTTCTTTTCTTTTTTTTTTCATCTTCAAACTCTGGCCGGTCGCCGGACCGGCGACCGGGCCAGAGGCGGAAGCCGGCGAGGGCCGCCCTCGCCGGCCGTCTGGCGAGGACGGCCCTCGCCCATCGCAAGGGTCGAGGGCCGCCCAGACGCCAGCGAGGGCGAGCCCTCGCCCGAAACCGGCGAGGGTCGCCCTCGTCGGATCTGGCGAGGGCGGCCCTCGCCTGACGCCGGTGAGGGCGGCCCTTGCCAGATCGGGCGAGGCCAGCCCTCGCCCAATACAGGCGAGGGTCGCCCTCGCCGGATCTGGCGAGGGCGGCCCTCGCCGGGTTCCGCCTCTGGCCTGTCGCCGGACCGGCGACCGGCCGGAGGTTGAAGGTGAAGGGAAAAGAAAAGAAAAGAAAAAAGAAAAAAGAAAAAAATTCAAAAAAATAATATTAAAAATTAGTTCGGGGTAAAATTGTCACATGAGTACCAGTTTAGGGTTTTTTGTGGTATGTTTGGGGTAAAATTGTCACAGTGTGTGAATCACTTGGGGTTTTTTATGGTCAAAAAATAGTTTGGGGTAAATGTGTCACAAAGTGTACCAGTTTAGGGTTTTTCGTGGTATTAACCCTATATAAATTTATTATAGCCGGACTACTTCGGTGGAAGGAAAACATGTAGCAACCATTGAAGAGATGGAACACTTCGAAGAACCTCAAATCACATTTTATTTTTTGTTGATTTTGTTCGTTTTTTAGATAATGATTTGATCGAGAGGATCGATCGTCATTGGTCTTTTGGTAGATGGATGACTTTTGTAATTTAGTTCGTGGATGTTGGAGACTTGTGAGGCTTTGTTTCTCATTGATGTTGGGGTTTTTTTTTTGGGGGTTTGGAATATGGTTCTCATTTCATTATGATAAAAGGATGAGTAACATAGGTACGTATTCATAAGATAACGAGACCCAAATAGCTCGAGGGAGATATTAGATCCAATTAGAAGAAAGATTTTTCTTTTGTTGGGCTTTTGCGACTCAGTCCGCCATCTTATTTGCCTCTTTGTTACAATGTGCCGCTTTGAGATCCAAATAAAAGCTAAGCTGGTCTGGGCTTCCTAGATATGCGTACTAATTCTCAATAAATTTCTTCAGTGCCTGATAATCCATGAATTAGATCAGACTGATTTGAGTTCGGTTTGAAGGAGGTGCGTGAGCTAGATCCAAAGAATCTTAGGGTTTCCAGTAGAGCCAAAGCCTTCGATTGAGCAGCAGATGATGCCATGACAATTCGCACAAAGCCATCCACGAGGAGACCAGAGCTATCGTGACACACATGCTATGGCTCCCTTGTGTGTTCCTTCTATGTAAGCTCCATCGATGTTCAGCTTTAAGACACCCTCTTTTTGGTGATTTCCAAACTCAATCCGATGCTTGTCTAAGCTCGGTTCTTTACTTGGATCTAGTTGTCTGGCGAGCAATACTTTCACATGCTGTCAAAGCAGCTTCCGGTAGCTTTGCCGGGTTTGGGACTTGCACTCGAACGCAAAATTGTTTCTTTCCTCCAGATGAATCAAATAACAACGGAGAGAAATTCGAACGAAACCGAAGTATGTTGAAAGTTAAACAACCAATCCTTAATTCTAGACAAACCTGAGCTAATGTTTAGGGCCAAATGAGACCATAATTTCGATGTCCAAGGGCACAACAAGAAAACATGCTTAATCGTCTCAGGTTGCAAATTGCAGAGAGAACACACCGGGTCAGGTACAATTTTCTTCCAAAAAAAGGTTATCCTTGGTAGTGAGTGCATTTTGGCGAGTGCTGTAGAACAAAAAATTTAATTTGAGTAGAGTGTGAGAGCCTGCCATATTCTGTTCTAGACAGCTCGGGGAGTTTGAAATGAAGATGATGCCGATTTTCTTATTTTTGTGACTTATGGAATGTGTTTATTGAGAATTATTTTACATGATTAATGATTAGATTATTGTATTACAGGTTTTTTTACTTTAGATAACAGGTTTTTGATTTGTTATTATACGGTCATAGGTTTTATTTTTTAATTAATATATATTTTATATGTTTATCAGGTTAACTTGATAGGTTTTATATATGTGTTTCATTGAATTCCCATTTAGGGTTCATGCCCGGGCTGCCTTCAAATGGGCCGGTCTTTTTCAGCCGGGGTCATTGGAGTAACTTTAGTCCAGGCAAGGCCCAAAAAGGGAATAGGCCTGTGCTGGCCCGGCCCGTGCTCAACCCTAACCACAGCACTAAGGCTAGCGGTTCTGCGTGTGGTTGATGAGGGTCGCCGGTCCTTGCTAGACGACTAAGATGTAGCGGCAGCGGCACCTGGTATTGCAGGAGTCTTTGGCTTTCCCTATTTTCTTTTTTTTGGCTTTTTTTAAAAAAAAATTGACCTTTTTCTGACTTTGGGTCGCATTTGCGCCACGCCAATCCAATGTATACTTAGAAAATATTTCACAATGTCACATTAGACTAGCTTACCACGTTAGGAAATTTGGGTGACCAGTCACTAGACGGATAACATTTGTATATGATGGAAAACGTTTAGGATTTGATTGCATGTTTCAAATCGTTTTTAACTTGATTGCTGCTTATGCCAGAAGTTTAGGACTTTTGGGATCTATTTACACAAGAAAAGCAACCAACTCTTTTAAATCGACAAGCAATAAGTTCAATTGGTCAACTGATTTGATTGATATTATAAGTATGGTTACCAACAATTGCAAAACTAGTTTATCAATGACCATAACATGTAGCTTTCAATGACTATATGATACATTTATCGATGAGTGATGGAGTGTAGTCGATCAAGAGAGACTAGTCGGTGGAGGTCGTTCGAGCCATTGGACAATCAATAGCTATATGGCATGAATGTTGACATCTAGGAAGAAGAATCATCGATGGCTACATGGAATCGGCATCGACAAGTAGTTGAGAGGTGTTCCATAAAGCTCATCGACAAAACAAGCAAAGGCTTGGCCATCTTAAAATCTGGCTAAAGTGTTGGAAGCAAGGGGAAAATATCAGAATAAACGATACCAATCAAGGGCAAGGATACTGAGTGACGGTTGAGTAGACCAGTGGTTTTAAAAGTTGTAACCGTGTGTGAATGAGATTGGCGTATGAATAGGAGGCCCTAAATCACAAGAGTGCAGGTATAATCATACTTAGAGCAATAACCGCTAATGAATGGTTGTAATTAATAGGTTATACAAATGGCGGTGTGTAATCATAAAGGATATCATCATCAAACACATATTCCTATTATATATTTTTTTTCAGTTTATTAAAAATTATTGTCTTTTCAGTATCCATCATCATTCGTAGTTTTTTTTTAATCTTAAAATTCGTTATTCATCTTCGTGACAACACCGAGTGAACTCCTATCTAAAATCGCCTCGGAATCCATTTCGTAAAATACCAAAAATCAACTTTCGGTGGAAGATTGTTCGCTCTTTGGGCAAAACACCCATTTTCGACGGATCGGGGTCATTCCCTATTCGGTTACACATCATCGACGGGTGGTACGACAAGCCAATCACCATCTGGGTTTCTTTTCTTTCTAAAGTACAGACCTATGGGCGATTTCCCTTCACAACACAACACCTAATTACATCATACTCAATGATGCAACAGATGCATGTGAAACACCTCCCTGCTCGGAAGGGCACCCATTTGCATCCACCGCATCATGCGTTCTGGTCATCGAAGCAGGCACAGCAAACCCAATCAAAAGCTTCAGACAAGACCTCGTCAACATGATTTCGCGATCCTGAATCGTGCCGAGACGGCTACAGCTATGCACTCCCCAACGTGCCCTCCTCTCTCTCTCTACTTACTTCCTCTCATGCAATGTTACGAGTCGTGACATCTTAAGAATCTCGTTTTTCATGACATGGGTCCATTTGGTTTGTTCTGAAAGCACAAAGAAAGAGCCAAATTGGACAAGAAAAGTCCAATTCGAATGCTCAAACACAAAGGGCATTTTTCTCAAAAGTGGGTATGACCACGTCCCTTTGTTTACTAAAAATTCTAGAGATCCTCCTTAATTCCATGACCGGGTCTATTGGGTTCCCCCCACCTTCTAGCACACACAAGCACACGGATAAGGATTTGCAAAAAAAAGAAAAGAAAAGAGAATTTGCCATTTGGATTATACTCACCAACAAAAATATTTTTTGGCCCCCCCTCTTTAATTCGTCAAATATTATTTTTTTTTGTCTCCCTCCATCATGACATCTTGCATCACATCTCCACCAGAAAGAGAGAGAACGAATTAACAGCTGTTTTCTGGCTGCCACTCCAGGAGACCTTGCAAATTCATCATTGAAGCACATACATTCTCTCCTGGAGCCAAGCCCCGGCCTAAACTGGACTCAATTCAAATTCCAATCACCATGCTCGTTGCTCAAACAATTTCATCAGATGGTCTCTTGTAGCATTCGGGGCGTTTGATTTCACGTTCAATTGCTGACTCCTTGTGTTTATCGGAATTCAACCTCCTGCTTCGTCCTAGGATCCGAAAGGAAAAGATGGTGGATGCCTCACCGGAGAGATCGTCGGGTTGTGGCCTGCTCAATGCGGTGTTCGGGAAGCGCACGTTTTGGCCGAGGAGGACAACCTCCACCGGGTCGATGACGCCCCCGATGCGCAGCATTGGAGGCAACGTGACTAAATTGCCGAGCACCCCTCATTCGAGGCAGCGGCACGGCAGGTCTGATGAGGCCACCTTCCTCGATGCCAATGGGTCAGAAGTCCCGCCTAAGCCGATGAGTATGAGGCCGTCTCCGAACCAATACGGTAATCCGAATATGTACTATCAAAAGCAAGCCCCTGGCAGGGTCGCCGACGAGACAGCGATGGTGTTGCCTTCATCCGGGGTGACCAGTCCCGCGAAGAATCCTCATAAACAAAGCTATGTCAACAAAGGTAGAAGAGTGCCCCCAGAGACGACCGGCATATCGGGCGAGCTAGAAAGCATGATCGCTGATCACCAAAAGTCCCGCGGAAGCAGCACGCTTGTCCGTGCATCGTCGAGCAATGTAATGCTCTTTGGGAACTTGGGCAATTTGAGGCAACCCGGGACGACGAATCCAAGCAATGTGAGCAATGTGCCGGACCCTTACATCCCAAAGACTGCTACGAGGAACGAGGGTCCGATGCCTAACGGAAAATACACGAACAGTGTGATGGGCAACATCGTGAAGAAACCGGCGGATAGCAATAGAAAGCCTAGCGAATCGCCAGCCCCTGCTTCTTTCTGTCGCGCTCTCTCGACGAGAATGGACCCCGAGACACTGAAGATAATGGGCAATGAGGATTACAAGAACGGTAGGTTCGCCGAAGCCTTGGCACTGTATGATGCGGCGATCTCGATAGATCCGAACAAGGCTTCCTATAGGAGCAATAGGAGTGCCGCCCTGACTGCTTTGGGTAGACTTCTCGAGGCCGTTTTCGAGTGCAGAGAAGCCATTCGGATCGATCCTCGTTATCAAAGAGCTCATAATCGCTTGGCAACCTTGTATCTCAGGTAACTTCTGTCCCACCAAACAACGTTCCTTCGTGAATCTTCTACAATTGGCGCATACCATTTGAAGTTGAATTGCCCCGTTTCAAATTCTTTCCAATACTCAGAATATTTCCCCAAGCTATAGAACCAAAATCTCGCGACGGAACACCGCTCTGATAAATGCTCTTTCTCATCTGCATTAGATTAGGCGAAGCAGAAAAGGCGATGTACCACTACAAACACTCGGGACCCGAAGCCGACCCGGAGGACATTGCGAAGGCTAAAAGGGTTCAGTCCCACCTCAGTAAATGCACCGAAGCTCGCAAGCTGAGGGATTGGAATACTTTGATAAAGGAAAGCCGATGCGTGATATCAGCCGGCGCCGACTCGGCCCCTCAGGTCAGCCATCGAGCTTCTCCAATTTCGATCTCTGTGCATGCCCGGATTGAACAATTCCTTTATCTTTTCTTTAAGGTTGATGTCTGAACTACGGCTTGTTTATGTTTTGGAGAAGATTTTTGCATTGCAAGCGGAGGCATTGATGAAGCTAAGGAAGCACCAAGATGCGGACGAAGCACTGTCCAAGGGTCCGAATTTCGAGGTCGAGGAATGTACGAAGTTCCTGGGTCCTATTGGGAATGCTGGTTTGTTAGTTGTGCGGGCTCAGGTTGACTTGGCCGTCGGCAGGTCAGTGATCCACCTCACACGTATATAAACCTTCCTTTCTCTTTGATTGTCATTTTATATCGGGAAATTTTAATTATCATCCTCGCGTTTGTGCACGCACATCAATTCGCATCCTCACTTTTGAAAATATATGTTTTGTATCTTAAGTTTTGTTACTAGATTCAAGTTTTGCCACCCGTGATTCCTTGCGAGTTTTTATTTTCTTTTCCAAATTGCCCTTGTCACTCTCGTATCCTCAATCAGTTTTGATGGAGCGATTAGTAAGGAAAATAATGGATTCAGATAATTATGAAGAGAAAGGACCTGAGGGTCCTGAGTTATGATGTTATATGGATGGTAGGGACGGAAAATGAATGAAAAAATGTATTATGATTAGATATTCTTAGACAAACTTACAAATAAATGTAGGGTATAAGCGAGAAAGAAGACTAAATTTGTTAGATAATACATAAATCCCTACAAATCCCTCTTATTCGAATTAACCGGATGAATTCCGCATTATCCCTTCTAATCTTTTCCCTCCATATATTTCCCTTTGTCCAAATACCATTGTGTTTTTTAAGAACCCTTTCTCTTCTTTCATAATCCCTTGTTACAAATATAGTGTAAAAACTCTAAATCCCCTCCCTTTCCTCCTCCTCTTTCTTCCTCCCACCCACTTAGCTGCACCGCCCACGTCAGCTACCGGCACCTTCTTCGTCTGAGCCATCATCTCAGATGGCTCGTCCTCACAAAGCATGCTCCACCTTCATCATGCATCGTGTTAGCAATACCAGCCTATTTACTTGATTCAACATATTTTCTAAGGTTATGCACATATATTTTTTGATAGTGCATATTCTTAATTGATATATGTTACCTTCTATAATCCTTCCCCCTTCTCTCTTCTTCTTGGTCAGTCCACTCCATGATAGCCCAAATCGAGGTCAAGCTCGACCTCGATATGGTCAGGGAGCTTGCCTTCACGCCAAGCTTTGAATGGAGAGACAGAGAGAGAGAGAGAGAGAGAGAGAGAGAGAGAGAGAGAGAGAGAGAGAGAGAGAGAGAGAGAGAGAGAGAGAGAGAGAGAGAGAGAGAGAGAGAGAGAGAGAGAGAGAGAGAGGGTGGTTTTGGGTTGGGCTATGAGACCGGTTGTTGGTGAGTTGGTGGAGGATAGGTTTTTTGGGGGTTTTCTTTTTGAAAGAGAGGCAAGCAAGTCTTTTAAGTTTTGGGGCTTTGTCTGAAGACACAAATTGCAGATTTTAACAAAGTAAGGATGCATATTGATATGAGTGCTAAAATTGAAGTTAAAATTTGAAATTCCCTTCTTTTATTTAAAAACAAATGCACCTATTTGTACCGATTTTTCTTTTTCAGTAATTTTTCCTCACAATGCTATAGTCATCGTTGAAACATGTTACTTTTGATTAATTCTGGTACCACTTAACTTTTTCTCTTTTCAAATTACGGCTAACGGTGAACTTGTTTAGAGTGAAATTGTTGGATAATCGAAAAAAATTGGAGTTGCATTGTTAGGAATGTAAATCAAGTGCTAAGATTATGAGTTGAAATTCCGGCTGTAGATCCATAATCATACTCCTTTTGTGAGGCCAAGTCTGGGCCTAAATTGATTTTTAGGGATGGAGAGGCATGACACATAAATTTCAAAAGAGAAGTTCAAGAGGGTGAAAGAAATTTGTAGAAAACTTTAGAAAAATATTTACAAAAAAATTGGTTTTCGGAGTAGATGGAATGCAATCCTTAAAGACCACCGAGACCTTGCCGCATCCCAATGACCTAATCATTGCAATCACTAGGACATAGTGCCATATTCCTTGCCCTAAGAGAAAAATGCCCAATTTAAACATTCGAAAGCGTAATCTGTTCATCAAAGTCAGCGAGAAGAAGATAGAGATAAGTCCAAACACAATATTTGCCAAGGAAAAGCACAAGAAACATTATTAGTCTCGTAGGGGTCCATCATAAAGCATAATGCCATGAAGAAATCGGGGGGAAACAGGGGGGGCAAAGGTCTAGGCTGGTGCTCGACGCGGTTTCGATTTGGGCAAATTGGGTATCGTTAAACAGCTCAAAAGCGGAACCTTGTTAGCGAAAAAGAAAAAGAAAGAGCAAGAAAAGATATGATAGGGATTTGGGTCTCCATAATTTGACCTCTTACCTACCAAAAGTCCCAAATGGGCCAGCACCCAGCAATTCTTCCCGTTCCTTGCCGACCATGCACCTTCGAAGCTTTTGACCGACGAGCCTAGGCTGCACCAACTACAAGCCCCCAAAGAGTACCAATTGGCGATCGGTAACCTAGTCTATCTTCATTAGACATTGACATTACCCTACTCTATCTCGTGTGTCACTTTTCTCATCTAGATCTGGTTCACACGCTAATCTCAAAATTTTCAATATGTTATTCGAATAATAGTTTGTACTAACTATCCAAATAATTGAATCGAGTGATCACTTGTTTATCGTTTAGTTCCGTTAATGATTAGAAGTAAAAGGATATAGTCAAACACATACTTAAATAGACATCATGGAGGGCGAAATCAATAGAAGATACCAAGGAAGTGTACCAAATGTCATATTTTCTGTCACTTAGGGGTCCCTCGGTCCCAATCAACATTTTGAATGAAAACCAAATCATTTAACCAGTGTGGCTTACATGGCTATTTTGATTTGAGGCAGATTTGATGATGCCTTGGAGGCGGCTCAACGAGCAGCTCGGCTAGACTCGAGCAACAAGGAAGTGAACTATGTGATTAAGAGGGCTCGAGCCGTGGCGGGAGCCCGGTACAAAGGGAACGAGCTCTTCAAGGCTGAGAGATTCACTGAGGCTTGCGTAGCATATGGAGAAGGACTCGAGCATGACCAGCACAACTCGGTCTTATTGTGCAACCGTGCCGCATGCAGGACCAAGCTAGGCCAGTACGATAAGGCGATCGAGGATTGCACCGCCGCACTCAATGTCCGCCCATCTTACAGCAAGGCCAGGCTAAGAAGAGCCGATTGTTTCGCCAAGGTGAGTTTTTTTGACGTGATCGAAATCATTTGATAAAATACCTCCGATTAACCTTGCAACAAAACATTCCATACACTTTACATGCTCATCAGCGAAAATGTTAAATATCTTTATTGTCATTCAAAACATTTATCAATCTTTGCCTAGTTCAAAGCCAAACAATCGTAATTTCAATATGAACAAATCCGATCTGTCCTCAGTTGATTATGATTTCGCAAAATTTAATGAGTATAACTATTTGCAAATGCAGAAGATGGGAGTTACTAGGGCATTTCTACATGACCCTAAAACTTCTCAATACTTGGCGATTTCATTGTAATTGATTAGTTCTCATGAAATTTATGTTTGCTTTATATTTTCTTCAATCAGTTGAAGAAGTGGGAGGCTTCGATACAAGACTATGAGGTGTTGGCGAGAGAAGCGCCGGAAGACGAAGAAGTGAGCCGAGTGCTGTTGGAGGCCAAGGCACAACTTAGAAGACAATGTGGTGACATCGTGTAGGGTTTGCAAAATCTCAAATGTGGTGTGTTAGTGTTGCAGCTGTCTCTCTTGGAGGGTGTACTAACTCAAATTAGACAAAAACAAATCTCTGAAAACTAGAATGTTTAGTGATTTTTTTTGTGACGCTTTGAAATATTAGGTCAAAGAGATGCGTGTCTGCTTAAGAGCACCTTCTTCTATCTAGTTAAGTTCTCTGGTATAAGAGTGATCAATTAAAACTGACCAATCGATCGAACCGGATCCAACCTAACCTTTCGGTTAACTGATTTATCAGTTTGGTTTTGGATTGAAAATATTTGCTAATGCAAATCAAGCCTATAAACTGATAAAATTGCTTTTGTATTGACCTTTGATGTAGAAAAGCCAATAACAGAAGACCGGGGCTATTTTCACACCCTCGACCCAATCTTTTCCTTGAAAAAACCAAATTACTCTCACTCAAATGCTAAGTAAATAAATTGCTGCAAGAAATTTTCTTATGTGATCTATGTTTTTCCTCAATCTCTGGTTGGAGGAAACTTGTAACCAGTTTTGTAATTGGTGGGTTAAAACATAGACAGCGCAATACTTATATTTGCTTTAGTTTGCCAATCGTAAGTTAGTCGAGACTATAATTGTTCAAATATGGGTATCGGAATTGCAATTGACCCAGCAAGAAACATATTTCGCTGGATACAATGGCCACGAATTCGAGCTACGTCGACAAAAAAAAATTTTGGGTCGAAATAAAGTTCATTTAATATACTAAAAACACCCGAGAGGCCCAATTAAAGGGCATCAATACATAATAGATCCGACAAGACTTGGGGAGGGGGAAACAACTCAGTTCTAAGGTAGTGAGTTTCTCCTACGTTGACAAATTGTTGTGTCGAATCAGACTACCACAAAAGGACATCATACAAACCTTAACCATCTATAGATAAATTAACTCAATATAGACAAGTTAAATAAGGTTTTACCACACGAGAATTCCCCAAGACAAAATGCTCAAATAAGGTTTTCCATCGTTGCCGTCGCAATTATTACAAATTATTGAATATCATCCATCCCTTTATTTAGGAAAGAATCCCAAATTTGTACAAAATCTCTCTTCATTAGAAAAATAAAATCATCAAGCTTTCAACCAACTCAGGGTTAAATGAAGAAAAATGATGATTAATCGGCTATGCTCCGAAAGAAAACATTCACACTTTCCATAGTTGTTACATTTTCTTTTTCTATTCGAATTTTTGTGTGATAAGTAACTCTAGAGTGAAAATTTTCGGAGAAATGATTTATTTATGTCCGATTTGATCCTTGATCTGATCACACAGATTCCTAATGAATTGATTCGGTCAATCCACAAGATTGGATATTCATAGAATAGGAAAGCATCTTCAAGTATATTGTTTCACATTTCTTATTTTCCTTCATGTACTATAAATACACCTATGTACATGTACAATTGGTTATTTAGAAATACAATCACAATTTTCCTCCATATATCCTTCTAATTTTCTGTCATGGTATCGGAGCAATTTTTCCTGACCTAGCTTCCGCAATTTTTTTTTTGAATTGCCTTCGGTTGTTTTCTAATTTGTTGTTGTGAAACATCCCTTGCAAAACAAAATCAGCACTCCAAGTAGAAATTCACACATCCATACACTAGTGACATCATGCCAAGATATCAAAACCCAGACCCAATCATACCTGCAATGGTTGAAACCTCTTCCAACCAAGACTCACTCCAAATCAAATTTCGGATCAAATTAATTTGGCACAAGGCGAGCATCCCTCTAATCAGCATCCGGCGATTCCAATACTTGCTCTAGCTCAATTTTCCAGCCCATCCCAGTGGCCTCCAGTCCACTGGTTTCTAGTTCAAGGCCAGTGGGCTACCGGACCAAATTAGTAGTGGACTTAACACATGCCATACGAAGCAGACACAAATTTGGGCCTCGGGACCCAGCCTAATGGTTATTCTTGGGCCCTACCTAAGTGGTGGACCGGGTTAGACACCTTTGTGCCACACCGCTGAATTGGGTCCGATGGGTCCAGGGATGAATCCCTACCCAGTTTTCCAACCCGATTTCATGCCGTATGCCTTCCTAATCGCCGGCGGCCATGCAGAACTCAACGACCCGCTCTATACATCGCCGGCCAATGAATCGGAACGGCTACTCATCAACTTGCGGCTCGACGGACCAGATAATTATACTACATGGATTTGGGATTTCTTGTGAGCCCTAGTGACCAAGGACAAGGATGGTTTCCTTGATGAAACCGTACCCTTTTCCGGCCGATGACCAAATGTAGCGATATTAGCGCAAGTGCAACCAACTCGTTCAGACATGGATCGGGAACTATGTAGCTCCCAAGGTCGCGGCCGGACTTCCATCGACCAAGGACTCAAGAATCATGTGGGACAACATTCGCGAGATGTATGGGAAACTCAACCGTGCGAAATTTTTTCACTCACCCAAGCCTTGTCGGATTTGAAGCAAGGGAAACTCTCAGTCACCGCTTCTTTCAACCGACTGTCAGCTCTAAGCAATGAGATCGAGGCGGCCAAGGAACATCTCGAAGGACCCAAGACCATGCTCAAACAGCACAGAAAAATTAAGGAAAGGGAGAAGGTAACTCGATTTCTTCTAATCCTAAATGAAAGTTATTCACCCTTTTGCTCACTAATTCAAGCCATGGATTCCGTCCCGCCGCTTGGCTAGATTTATCAGTTGGCCATGCAAGAAGAGAACTAGCGACTGGCCATGATGGAGTATATCAAGGTGGGGGAGAGTGTAAGCTTGTCGCTTTGGTGGGCTCATCCCAACAAATCCACGGCGTTCTCGGACCGTTGCCATGAGCTCAGAGCATGCCCAGGCAGCACCGTGTGGCAAGTGTCCCTTGTTGGAATGAAGAAGATAGAGCAAACCCTAAAGGTTTGCAAGTGGACAGTCTGGATTAGAGGCACGGATCAAACGGCTCTTACTTGTCTAGTCATGCGGCCAAATCAAATAGCCCTATCAAGCCATGTCAGCACCGGCTTTCAAGCCATCCAATGGCTCACGCAGCGCCACGTCATCACAAAAGGAGGGGGGGACCAAATTTTAAACCTAAAGGTAAATACTGTGAATATTGTAAGCGCTCACTTCATACTATTGACATGTGCTAGAAATTATATGGAAAGCCAATTGACAGAGAAAATGTAATAGTCTGAATTTTCGATCCTTTTCCCGGGATTTAAGAAATGAATTTGACCAATGCACTTATAGTGAGATCTCACCCGGAAATGCGCATTCACGGGATGCTAACCTTAGGGGTAGGGCCGTTACGGGATTGAGTTGGCACAACCAAAGAACTCGACCTGGGTTCGATCTTCGACCATATGGATTGACGATGAAATGTTTTGAGCCAACCGAGACCGGTCTACTTAATTGATCGTGTCCGAAGGGAACTAGCGACAGACCCTCGCAATTATATGACAATCGAGGTCGTCTCGGGTGGAGTAAACTTAAACGTGATTTGACTTAGTGTCGATCACGGGTCGAGAGCGCATAATCCCAATGAGCCACCCGTTAGCCAGAGATAAGCTAAAGTTGCAATTGTCCAATTTTAGTCATTTCTTGAAATTCGGGCCCGGGAATCGAGAATTTTGAAAGTGACAATTTTGGACGGCCGATGACGTTTTTGGCTTGGCCAACCTTGGGGCCAACCATTTCTGCAAAAAAATGGATTTCAGTCCGGGACCGGAAAAATTACGATTTTGCCCCTGTGGACACCGATATTGGATTCGGAGGCCGTTTGAGGTTATTTTTCGCGGCCAAGGTCATTTTGGGGTGGCCACGCACATTTAGAGTGGTTTTGGCCAAAAATTGGAATTTCGACAAAAATTGGAAAAATAATATTATTTTATTCCCGAGACTTTGACGTGGATTTTCGAGGGCTTGCGCGATGAATTTCGCGATTCCGACTCCATATTATGTTGGCCACGCACATATGGAACGTGTATGTGCGAAAATTGGAATTTCGGTTCGGGATCGGAAAATTACGAAAATGCCCCTAGGCCATTTTTGATTAATTCCGAAATTTGGATTAATTTTGGGATTAACCAAGGTGAGTTAGGCTTAACTCAGGTCTGGTCAACCATGGTTAAGAGCAAATGACCATTCTACCCCTAAATTATTGGATTGGATCAAATTTGGGCCCTTGGATTAGGGGCAAAATTGTCCTAAGGCACTAGATTGAGACACTTGGACTCCACTAAGCTATCTTTGACCCATTTGACCAGATAGTCTTCTCTCTCTCTCTCTCTCTCTCTCTCACGTACAGAAGCATTCAGCCATTTTTTCCCCAGAATTTTCCTCTTCTTCTTCACGTTTCTGGTTCTGCAGTCCCGTTTCTGCCATTTTCGGTACTGTTCACGCCGGAACAGTACCAGCCGGTGCTGCCCCCACCAAGCCAACATCACCAGCAACCATTTCCACCTCTGTGCAGCCACCACAGCCCCGGTTCTTGTCCAAAACAGCCTTGTTTCTCTGTTTTTCTCTTTCCCGGTCTGCAAACAGTACCGCCGGAGCTCCGATCGCCGTTCCGTCGACACCCAGCCGTCCAGCCTCGCCGTACGTCGCCGTCCAGCACAGTCCGTACAGTGTCCGTACGGATCACTGTTCACCGTCCGTACGGATCGCTGTTCACGCCGGACCGTCGGACGCCGCGGCTGTCACCGGCACCTCTCCGGCCACCGTCCCAGCCCTGTCCGTACAGTGTCCGTACGGAGTGGTACTGTTCACCGCGTCCGTACGGAACACTGTTCACGCCGTCCGTACATCGCCGGCGACGCTGCTGCCGCTGTCCCGGCCCGTTCCAGCCCCGTTCTGTCTCGCCTTTTTAGTAAGTGTTTTCCCCAAATGTCATTTAGGACCTCGGGTATTTCTAGGCTCGTTTAGGACCCGGTTTAGGCGATTTTGTGACTGTTTCAGGGGCTGTTCGGGACTGATTTGAGTGACTGATTATTTTGTGGTTGCGGACTGATTAGGCGAAGAATTTTGAGGTTTAGGGAGCTTGGATTAGGGCTGTGATGTTGAGGTTTGATCGGGATTAATTTGTGCGATTAATTATTGGGATTGTGCCTTGAATGGAATTTTGTGCGTGATTGTGCGATTTGTGGTAGTTGGCTGATTTGGGATTGT